TGCGAGGGGGCTGTGGGCTGCAGGGCGGCCGGCACACCGCCGGGCGGGCGGGGAGTGAAGTGCCCCGGCAGGTCTGACGGCAGCCTCCGTGCCCGCGAGGTGGGTGCCTAGGCGAGACCCTGATGGCGTAGCAGAAAGGAGCCTTTAGCGCGGCCCGTTCAGCGCTTCACCGCGTTTTCAGCGCAGTTGTCTTCGTGCCGCTCCTGGTGAGTGCGGTTCCAGTTGGATTTGCAGAACGGTTTTGAACAGCTGTGCAAGCTCCTGTTGCTTCTTTTACCAGCCGGTTTTCAGGGTGCGATTTGTCCTGATCGTGTTTAACAAATCGCTTTTTGCCACTTGATGTCAGGATAGTGTAATGTATTTGCCTCGGTTAAAGGCAGACTGAATTACAGTCTTAGAATTGTGAGGTTTGGCTTCCCTCTCTTAAACCAACACAGTTCTTGGGAGCTTCAAGTATAGTTATATACGGTAAAGATCAGGTTAATTTAGGATTGCCAACACTGTTTTAAAAGTTGTAACTTTGTACTGCGTCATACTCTCAAAAAACCCTAAGGGCAGGGAAGGAAGGTTGCTTTACCAAATTTCCTTAGTTGTGGTCTTTAGCATGGGATGAAACTGTTAATAATGTGGTATTATAGAAGTTGTGAACACCTTGCTTAACAATGCCTCATCGAATGGCAGTTAGCACAGCAGTCATTACGGATGACAAGAGCTGGTCAGAAAAGGCAGTGGGAGGGAGAAGAATTAGTGCGCCTTTTGTTAAACGGAATATAAATATGAGTTTTCGAGGAAGAGACTGCCCAGCTGTTAGGGTACTTGAAAGTTTATCAAGCACTGACACTTAGTGAATGGAAAACGATGGGTCTTTTAAAGCTGAGATTTATTGTGCTGATAGTTCCATGGGGTCAAGTATCTCTACAAATGATTTTTTACAGTGTTAGAATGCAGGATACAAGAATGAAAACTCATATTTCAGAAGAGATCGTATTTGAAGTGTGCATGTGCACAACAGTATTTGCTTGTTATTTGAAAAGATAAGCTTTTTTTTCACGTTTTAACAGAAATATGGTCTATGTTCTAGGGGCTGGGAAAACAACTCTTCTGAATTACATACTGACAGAACGGCATAACAAAAGAATAGCAGTTATTCTGAATGAGTTTGGAGAAGGTATGTAAACCTGCAGAAAAATTTGTTAGCCATAAAATGACAAATCTATAAAATTTCTGGAAATCAAGAACACTCTAGTTTTAAATCCATTACCAAAATTATTGACATACCTCATAGTCTTCAGAAGGGCAAAAAATCTTTTGGCTGGCGTTCATAAAATAATACTATGCATTAGTCTGTTTTGTACATAAATTCAGTCCCTCAGAGTCAAGTAAATGAATATACCACCCTGTTGGAAGTGCTATACCTCCATTTGTCGTACTTGGTGTCAAGCAAATGGAAGTTAAAATAATGTGTTGGTAGATAATATTTTTTTTTTTTTCATTTCCCCTCAACCACTTACAGAACACTTATTATCCTAGAACGAGAAGATGGGGAGATACGTGCTTGGTGGTTTTGGTTCTTTGAACTCTTTGCTTTCCTTCTCAGGATTTTTAACTGTTATGGCTGTAACTTCATATCCGTACCATAGTCAGCATTGCTTACACTTTGCACTGCATTGGTGGTGGTTTATTTGTTTGTTTTCATCAACAAAGATGCATGCCACTTTCCTGGTCAAGGAGCCTAAAATTAAAAGTATAGACAGAGCCTTTATTTGATATGGAGGTAGAGGCTGACTTTCTTTTAGCAAAGTTTGTGGCACTTATGCTGTACTTTTATCCTCTGGGTTTTGGTCTTTGTAGAACCAACTTGGCTTTGGCTTTTAAATTTCCCATAAAATGGAAAATACTAATTTCTGAAGAATATGTCAGAAACGTGGTCTCAGAAGAAAAAATAGACTCCCAAGAGTAAAAATGTGTACCAACTTGAATCTTTCATATCTCTTTTGCAGGCAATGTCATGCAAAGTTGTAGTTTAAAATTACATTACTACTTATATTTCCAGGAAGTGCATTGGAGAAATCGCTGGCAATCAGTCAAGGGGGAGAACTCTATGAAGAATGGCTGGAGCTCAGAAATGGCTGCCTGTGCTGTTCAGTAAAGTAAGGAAGGACTATTATACAAGTTCTTACAGTGGGTTTTGGGGAAATTGAGGAAACAAGAAGGCATCCACGATTTGATTCCTAAAATTGATGATAGTATTGACTGAGACTTCTTTTGTTGGGTAAAACAAGAATTGGAATTTGGGAGATGGAAATTTATTTCCTTTTGCTGCCTTGCTGGATTTGGACTTAGTGTCTTTCAGAAAAATAATCTAAATGTCAACTTACACAACATTGGGGTATTGTAGGGTAGAGAGCTCTCCCTCTTCTGGTAGTATTACATGCTTTCATATAGAAAGCTAAAGATTCGGGGAGGCTGGAACTAGGACTAAAGTTTCCCAATACCCACATGAAATATTTACTCAGTGTTTCTTTCTCTTTATGTTAGTTAATACTTGTATACCTCAGAAAGGGTGGAGGGGGAACCTTTTGGTGACCTAATGAAACACAGTATTCCAAATTGTAAGCTGATGGTCATATTAAAAAGCAGTAGTGTGTTTGTTTCTTTGACATGTTTTTATGCTGTTGTTTGAATGCTGGATTGTCTGTGTGAAATTTGTAATAAAGGTGATGGCTTGTTTGTCCTGAAAGTTTGGAAGAACTGGTCCTATGCCTTAAATTGACATAGTAAGGGGAAAACAGAAGACCCTATTGCATTGTGTTCTACTGGGATGTGAGGAATGCTGCCATTGCTCCTTTGTTTTGTATACATTGGTTTCTTATATAGAATGCTGTACATTTCTGCTTCAGGCTGACCTCATCAGCTGAGATTTAAGTAAATGACACGTCTTAATTTTGCTGTAGGTGAGGTGGAAAAGTAGGAGAACGTGGTTCAGTTCTTCCACCCCCCTTGACATATCCAATTTCTCTTTGTAATCTCAGCTGCCAAACCAAATAGTTACATATTTACGCAGCCCTACTGTCCTTTATAGGGTTTTCAGCGTTTAAAAACAAATCTTCATTTAAATCACTCTTATTATGCCTTTGGGAGTAGGCAGATACTATTTGCAGGGTAAAAAGAAATAGAAAACTACAATTTGCCTAATATTAGAGCAGCAGCTTGATGACTGAATTTTCACTGTAGACTGTAAGTCCTGACTCAGACCTTTGCTTTGATGGTACTAACACTGTGTCTGCATCAGAAGATCCATGTTTATACATGTTTTAGCTTGTTTTCTCAGTTCTCAGGTTTAATTATTTCTTTTTACAGGGACAATGGTGTGAAAGCTATTGAGAACCTGATGCAAAGGAGAGGAAAATTTGACTATATATTGTTAGAAACAACTGGTTTGGCAGATCCAGGTAGTTCACATTATGGTTTTCATAACTGTGGTAATTATTCTGTTTTTATGAAGTGCCTATTTGGTCACCAATCAGTTTGCTGTGCAAAATGTAATATGAAGTGGTGAATTGTCATGTGTATGCTTTGAATACTATTCAGACCAAAACTGAATTGGCTAAGGTGCAGAAACAGGGTTGTGGGTGGGGTTGTTTGGTTGGATGTTTTGTTTGGTTTGGTTTTTTTGAACTTGCTTTAAATTGACTATAAAGTTTAATGGAAAACCAGTTAAAATATATTTCTATCAGGAGAAGACACTGGACTTAGAGAAGCAGATTCTGAAACTGGTAGTTTTTCAGTAGGCTTTTGCTGTTCTACAATACTCCTTCTAAAGTATAAGTTATTAGCATCTGATATATTGTTACATTGGTTGTGATAGGTCTTATATTTTGTGAAGTCATAAAATACTTTGTGAAACAACTAATACATTCTTCTGGTATGTACAGAACAGTAACAGATCTTACAAATTGCTTGTGTACTTTTGAGTGATACTTACTATAAAATGGTGGTTTAGCTTATGTTAGTAATAGGTATCTAAAACAATTTTCTCTGAACCATCTCAATTGAAAATATGTTGTTGATCAAGAGTGAAGGAAAGTCTTATCAGAAATTCAATTGTTTCCCATTTAGGAACCTGACACTTTCCAGCTCAAAGCTAAATAGTTGTTGTGGTAAAGTAATTTTCTTTAAAAGAAAGGACATTGATTTGGCCTCTGTTACACACAAATTCTATTTGAGTCAAATTGGAAAACTATTAAGCTTTTTGGAAAAAAAATCAATAGATACCAGAAAACCATTAGATGTTGTGACCCTTGCTGTATCTTGCATGAGTAAGCACTGAACAACTGACAGGTATTTGGTGTTGATACAGAGTGATGTTTGGAGGACTGCATCTTGCCACTTCAGGTAGACAATTTTAGGTGTTAGAATGAGTTTAGTTACTATTTTTTTTTTTTCTTTTTGATGTGCATAGTAGACTTAGACAGCTTGCCAGTAACCAAGGATCTGATAATTGAAAAGAAGAAGTACTGTTGTTGCTGTCGGCTCCTCCTGTCCTTCAGGTTGCAGCACTGATTTGCGTTAAATTGGTTTGTTTCAGCACAAATAAAGATTTTTTTTTTTTTTTTGAAATTAATACACAACACATCCTACAGTTGCTAGAATCTGTTTTACAGGGCCATTTTAGCAGAAAACAGGAGTAACATACTTCTAGGCCATGTGTAGTACACAAGTATCGGGTCACAGATTCCAAATCCTTGATAGAATGTGGTTCCAGTTGTCGAAATACTTGCCGATTCTTTTTGCTGAAGACTTGTCAGTTTAGTATGTTCCATTTTACATACTGAAGACATACAAGTGACTATACAAAGAAGAGAGGGTACTATAGAATCATAAAATCATAGAATCATTATGGTTGGAAGAGACCTCAAAGATCATCAAGTCCAACTGTATACCTGATGCCACCATGCCCACTAAACCATGTCTTGAGGCGCCACATCTAAACGTTTTTTGAACACCTCCAGGGATGGTGACTCCACCACCTCCCTGGGGAGCCCGTTCCAATGCTTAACTACTCTAACAGAGAAGAAGTTCTTTCTAATGTCCAGCCTGAACCTCCCCTGGCGCAACTTGAGACCGTTTCCTCTTGTCCTGTTGCTAGTTACCGGGGAGAAGAGACCAACCCCTGCCTCGCTACAACCTCCTTTCAGGTAGTTGTAGAGGGCGATAAGGTCTCCCCTAGGCCGCCTCCTCCTCCCTCAGCCGCTCCTCGTAAGGCTTTTTCTCCAGGCCCTTTACCAGCTGTGTGTTTCATTATTCCAGAAGCACCTCATCTGGATAGCGTTTCAGTGGGTAATAAGGCCTAGCATGGAAAAAATACTAGAATCGTAGAACAATTCAGTTTGGACAGGATGTTAGGAGGTCTTTAATCCAACCTCCTGCCAAAAGCAGGGGTCAGCTGTAAGACAAACCAGGTTCTTTGGGATATCCAATCATATATCTCTGTCCTCAGGATAAACAAAATACAGCCTCTCCAGGCAATCTGTTCTGTGCCTGCCTTTTTGTGGTGAAAAAACATTTTTCTGATGTATGTGATCTGAACCTTGCTTACTTCCTTACTTACAGTTGTTTTCCATCCTTCTGCTGCAGCCTGGCTCAGTCTTCTCGGTGACTCACCTGTAGGTACCAGGGAGGCTGCTGTTAGGTTCTGCAGAAGCTGTCCCTTCTCCATGCTGAACAAATGCAGTTCCCCACCTCTCCTCATAGGGCCTGTGTTCCAGCCTCAGCTGTCTTGGTGATCCTATACTGATGTCTGTCTTGTATGGGGGATCCCCACACTGGAAGTGCTAGCCAGACATGGGCTTGAAAATGCTAAATAGAGGAAAATAACCTCCCTCAGCCATGCTTCTCTTTGAACAGTGTGAAGTGCTTTTGGCCTTCTCTGATCCCGGGGCACAGTGCTCGCTCAGCTTGCTGCCTACCAGGACCCCCAGGGACTTCTCCATAGACCTGTTCCCCAGCCAGTCTGTCCCTAGCCTGTGTCATTGCCAGGGACTCTTTGTTCTTAAGTGTATTAGTCAAGTGTTTTTCCTTGCTGAATTTCATCAGGTTCTCATTGGCCGTTCCTGCCTGCCTGGCCACGTTCCTCTGAAAGATTGCTCTGCCCTTATATATGTCAACTGTTCCTTTCTGAATTTGGTGTTCTCTGCAAACTTGACAGTCGTATCTTCCATCCCCTCCTGGGTTCCTGGTGGAGATGTTGAACAGGACAGGTCCCAGGATAGACACCTGCAGTACCTTGCTTACTATTAGCTTCCAGGTAGGGTATGACCCATTAACTGCAACCTTTAGAGCTTAACTATCCAACCAGTTTTACTACTTGTCTTTCCATTCAGACTGGTAATGTCCCAGCTTGGTTACTAGAATATTTTCAAAGACAGTGTTGAAAATTTGCTAGAGGTGATATAAACAGCATGCAGTGCTCTCCCCTTGTCCACAAATACAATCATTTTTTGACAGACGGCCAGGTATGGCCTTCTCAGATTGATCAGGTGTGATTTACCCTTGTGAACTTCCCTTCCAGAACTGTATCTGTTTGCACATTGAACATGCATTAGATAGTTCTTAACGCCATCTGCCTTAAAATTATCTAAAGCCAGAAGCTTTCTTGTACAGACCTGAGTTCATTAAGGAAAACATCATTGTCTATATCTAGTTATTCTTGATTGTCTTCATCCTGTTTATTTGTGATGTAAGAAAGTGCATAGGAGAGTTCATAGAAGCCAGAGAAGAAGAGGTGGTCCCTAGGAGGGAGCTGATTTCTCTCAGATGTCTCAATTCCATTTTACTTCAACTGTTCTATCGCCTTTTTTTGTCTCCTTTGTTTTTTTTTGTGTGTGTGTGCCATCACCCAGAAACAGTGGCTGAAAGGTGAAGAGGGGGGGTACATAATTTTTTAGAAATCGTGGAGCCTTGGAGTATAGTAATGACATATAGTTGGTATTACTGAGTAAAGGTAATTTAGACAATTTACATGGATCTGGAATTGTGGGATTTTTAAAGCTTTTTGTAGTTATAGCTGTTGATGTGCACACAAGTATAATGCGTTGGTAACTGTTATGACGTCAAATGTGTGGTTGTGTATTTGACATCTGTGATGCTTTCTGAGTTTGGAAGAGAGAGGTTTCAATGACAGCACTACAACTAGAGTTTTTCTATGAAAAGTCTGGATATTGATAGTTTACTGGAAAATGTCAATTTTGCAACTAAACGTACTGCACTCCTAGGAGCTGTGGCCTCCATGTTCTGGGTTGATTCTGAGCTGGGAAGTGACATCTACCTTGATGGTGAGAAGTGCAAGCTTGTTTCCCAACATATTGGCATCCCATATCTGGATTTAGTGTAATGTATTCTTCTCATTTAAGGAAAGGTTTCAGAAAATGTTTGAATGCATAATCTTGGTTCTCACATCCCCGAATTTGACCTCAGAGATCCACTTGCTTATTCTGATACTTGTTTATGTACTCAGTGAGCTGTTTCGGTTTGCTAAATGCAACAAAAGTTGTGTAATGTTTTGCTAAGGGATCAGATATGGAGAGATCTTGATTTTGATTAAAGGGGTTTAAGAAAACCTAATTAGTTAAATGTTATAACAAGATGTTTTAAAACATTATTTAGGAGTACTGTTGCAGCTTGCTCTCCGCCGCCCCCCTTCCCAATGCAGTGTTTTCTAAATTGTTTTTTTTTTTTTCTGAACTCTTAACTTGTCAACATCTCGACTTTCCTACCTTATGTTTTCTGCTTTCTTTGCCTATTGTACTCTTGTTAGCTTTAGCATTTGCTGTTTTCCAATAAAAATCTGAGTTTACTGTTATATAAATCATCACTATAGATAGTCAAAGAACATTTTGAATGTTGTTTTTTTTTTTTAATGTAAGGAAAAAACCTTACTTTTTGGCTATAAAAAAATAATCCTACTAACACTTTGGTCAGTTTGTGAAATACCCATCTAGCCAAGGAAACATTCAGTTGAATAGGAAACAGCTTCCTAAGTTTCTGCCAGAGAATTGCAAATTCCTGGTCACTAACAATCAGAATAACTGAATACCTCAGTCAGTCCCCTTAATTTGTTTTGATAACCTGTAGAAGCATACGTCTGCCAATTTGCTGTTGTGGAAGAAGGAGGAGAGGCATTCACCTTGTGAGAATTTCTCTCACCTGGTCTCGTAGACTTTTTTTACCATGTATATGAGTAACAATTAAGAAAATAATTAGGGGATAAGTCCAATGTTCAGATACACTAGAAGCATTGAAAATATTATAACCAGTTGTAAATATGATGGTATTGTTACTTTTGTAGTTGTAGAGGAAGTTTGTAAGTTGTTAAATTGTTAACTGCTTTCAGCCCATTTCTGTTTGATTTTGATGTTCTCTTCTAGGTATTGTATCTGTTGTTGATGCAAAGCATGGATTGCAGGTAAGTTACTGGATTTGTTACCTGGTTTAAAACTGCAACATTAGAACAGCTATTGCAATAATGCTCATGTGGATGAATTACGTTTTTACAGTAACTTTAATTCTTACAATGGATGAGGATGTATTTCAGTTGCTGTGGTAGATTAGTACTATATTTTGAATAGGAACAAAGAAGTACTGATATGCATAGGAATTCAGATTCTTACCAACACAGCGGCATGTCTACTAAGACTTGTAAGTTTGCTAGATTCCTTTTAGTTCTATCACTTCACACGGGAATCTTGGTTGTATTCCAAATAGGCATTTGCATTACCATAAAAACAGTGGAGAAATTTGTCTTACAGAGTGTCATTCATCCATGTTACTTGAAAGGAGAGGAGTAAGAACAGATCTCTGATACCAGTGTGGTAGCAAGTGAATTATGCTCAAACTGGGAAAGGTGCTAATGCAGCGGCAGCTGTGGTGAGGAGAGATAAGAGAGCCTGGTGTCTAGGTACCATTTCAGATTAAAAGATTACTTCATTATATGGAAGCAGACAAAAAGTGTGGGTATTAGAGTAATCTATGTAAAGTGTAAGAACAGACCTATGGAACACTGAGTTTGGATAACAGCAGAAATTGTGATTAAATCAAATAGTTCAACTTTTTTTTGTAATAGCTAGTCATAAGTATAATTATTTGTAACTTTATAACTTAGGAAGTGGCTAAGTGGCTATTCAAAATAAAAGTGACCATAAGAAAGGCTGTCTCCGTGGTATAAAAATCCCATCATGCTGTGCAATTATATCTAATATCTCTTTATTTTACAATGGCCACAAAAAGCAAAGAGAACTGAAGAATAAGGAGGTGATCCCTCCTTTATAGGACTTAATTATGTTTGGACTATTTGGGTTTCTCCTTTCAATTTACCGAAAGGGGGCAGTGCTGTTCTCCTGTCAATTTGTGTTGCACCAGCACAGGACTAATCTAATCCCATAGCAAGCCAGTTTGGCGAGTTAAGCCATTGTGTTTTGCAAGGAATTTTGTGGAGGAGTTGGAAGAAGAACTAGGGGAAGGGACTGAGAGCTGCTATGTCCTTTTAAGCAGGAACTGACTTTTAAATCACATCAACTATCACAAGAAACCACAGCATGTCTTAAGTCAAAACCCTTTTCAGCTGGGTGTCCTCATACTAATTCAGATGTATTTTATTGCTTGCAGAAATGTTGTTCTGTTTATCTTTCTCTTCATGCAATGCTGATTCATTGATGTGAATCAAATACAATCATGTTGTACACGGCAGCACTAAATTATTATTGTTTAAAAAAGATAATTTTTAATATTTAAACTTTCAAGTAACATGTCAGAAACAACATGAAGATGTTTTGAAACGTTCAACTTTTCTATCCATTATTATCTTTGACAGCTCGCTGAAAACTCTTACATTATTTAATCAGTCAGCCTGTACAACACTGATATCCACTCAGAATAACAGAAGCCTTCAGACTTTCTCAGTTACATGCCAAGTAAACAACTTTTGTTGTGTATAACGGACTTACTAGCTTGTGCAATTCCTCTGGTTGCAAAGCTTGATCTCAACAGCTGCTTGTGATTCAAAGAATTTTGAAAGCCATACAGGTAATGACATTGAGGTAGTAGGCAGCAGTTTAAGGGTGTCATGCTTCAAAGACCTAGCCCATCAGAAGAAAAGCTGACAAATAGTACCCTGTGACCAGCCAGCCAAATTGAAACTGAAATGGTAATTGATATCAGGGGTTATCACTCTAATGGATTTGTCTGAAATACTCCTTTTTTTTTCTTTCTTTTTTTTTTTTTTTTTAAATGGAGGGCAAACAGTTGGACAACTTGAAGTGACAGTTCTCTGGTTTCAGGACGTGACATCTGGACTACTGACATTGTTCTTTTCAGGGCAACAAATCTGACAACATTTAATTCAATAGAGTCAATACACAGAGGATTACAAAGAAAAGGTCAGAGCAGAGGTTCCCTCCAAGTAATCCCAGTGTTATGCTCTGCTTAGGTTGAGCACAATCAGGAAATAGTTTTTTTTTATTGTGTTTTTTTTTAAGGTGACAGACTGACAGTATGCAATAATCTACTTTTGTTTTTCAAGTCAAATAGTGTTAGATGCCTGATAATTCCACTTGATGAAAAAATACTTTTCTAGTTTTTTTTTAATTTACATATTTCCCATGACAATTAATTGCACTTTCATTTGGTATTCCTGTGTCTTTAAAACCAAATTTTACAATAGTATTCCTGGTACATTTAGAGCTGATGAAAGAATGCACAGGACTCTAATCTTCCCAGAGAAGTAAGGCGTAAGTGGTGAGCTCTTACTAATATTACAGCATCAATTTAAAGTTTTACTGCCTCCAGGGTCTGTGGTGCTTCTCTTCTGGAGATTGCTGAGTGGGCAAAGTGAGCAGAAAATAACTTGTAGCTGAAACTTTGCTGCTTTAGTGTAGTCTGTTGCTTTGCCTAAATTAAGTAAGGCTTCATGTTGCTAAACTTCACGCTGCTGCTTGAGATGCAGGCATTTTTTTCCCTTTCACTAATTCTGTGAGGACAGTAGCTTGGGAAGACAAAGCTGCAGATGATACTAAACTCCTGCAGCATGATGAGTAGCTTCTGCTTTTGTCAGTGCTGACTGATTCTTCTGCCCAGTTGCAGCTTGAATAAGCTGCAAACACTGATGTTGGGCAGACTTGCCAAGGGGTAGTGGTTTATTTGTACAAACCCAGAAAAAGAGTTAACGAATTTTTACTATAAAAGTACAGTTTGCCAAATCTTTCAGAGAAGAGGAATATGCGGTTATTTATATGAAATCCTGTACTGCAAGCCTAACCCATCTTTAACAGTTAGTTGACATCACACTCATTAGTAAAGTTACTGTACTTTCATTTTTTCAGATATGTTTTTCCATGGTTACTGTATGTCATAGTGCCTTTTTTTTACATCATTGTAAATCTGAAAAGTAACTAAAATAAATATAATACAGTTTTCCAACTCTTTAGCATTCTAATAATAAATTTCATTAAAAGAGAAGAGTTTTCATAAAAGAAATTATAAGCTTCTGTAATGGTGAATGTATAAATGTACTTTCTCACCGTCATTTTACAGAAAAATTCTAGATGCTATCTTCCTCAGTACCTTGTTGAAACATATACCTCAGCTGAATTGGTTTTGACTTCCTTTAGTTGCAAATTAATTTAAATATCATTTGAATATGCTTAATCCAATTGTTTTAATTTTTGTCTAGCACTTGACAGAGGAAAAGCCAGAAGGCCTTGTCAATGAAGCATCTCGGTATGGGTGTATAAATTAATTTTATATATCAGAGTTACGAAATGCACTGTATATAAGTTCATTAGAAATGGCTTCTGTTCTAAGGCTTTTTTCTCCTCTTTTGCTTTTAGACCAAGGTAGATTGGTGTAATGAAGTATAAAATAGAAAAGTGACTCATGATCCATGTTATCTTTTTGCCCAGATCTGACTCTTACAATACATGTTTTAAGAGGGATGGGATTTTACGTAAGTGAAGGGGAACCAACTGTGTTGGTGGGAAGAAAGAATTGCATGCTAGGATCTATCAGATGCTTGAAGTAGAACTGGAGATAGAGGAGTATTTTTTGCTAGATGTGGAGACACAATGATTAAGGGTAACTGTAACAGTAGAAGTCTTCATAAAGCAAAGAGATTTCAAGTATGACTTTACGAAGACTACATGCAAGAGAAATAGGGGCTTGTGAAGTTCATAAATCACCAAGTACTTTGGATTAGATGACTTTGTTGAAAAAACCAACCAACCAAAAAATCCCCCTGAAAAACCCAACAACCCAACAAACACTAGCAAGCCTTTGTACGTTTGTAGACTACCCTTATGGTACAGAAGCCAGTAGTACATTAGTCATACTCCATGATGTTCTAGTTTGATTAATGCTTGCCTTTCTGTACTAACAATGCTCATACTATTTTCATGGTGCTATGGGAGAGGTGGTGTTTCTGCCTTACACAAAAAGTATTTGTTTGTTCATGTTGTCTTTTTTTTTTCTTCCCCTTAATGCATAGGCAGGTTGCATTAGCTGATCTTATAATCATCAATAAAACAGATTTGGTTTCAAGGGAAGAATTGAATAAAGTCAGAACATCTGTCAGGTATGAAGCCTTTGGCATAAGTGTAACACTGTACTGGGTCAAAAGTTATTTTTATTTAAACATAGTTACTTCCTTCTTGCTGTTGATGCAGAAATTAGATCTCGTGATTGCATTGACACAAATCATTAGGTCAGAAGGGAAAACAGACTGCCCCTTTCTAAAGGCATTTAAATACTTTCTGTGTCCTTACACAATCTTAGTAGTTTGCCTATCTAGGTAAGATTTGGATGTTACTTACTAAAGACAGGCCTTTGTTGTAAGTGTCTGCGCTCTTACATTTCTGGGCAGCTGTTCCCATCTTTCAGAATTAGCATCAGGGAAAAGATGTAGTAGATACGAGTTCACTAGCAAATGTAAAGATCCATGGAAGAAGTCCCAAATAATTGTCGTGGGTGCAGAAGAACCAATGGTCTGAATCAAATTAGTGATCAAAGACATGCCACATCTTTTTCTGTCATTAACATGATAACCAAAATGAAAAATAAAAATTTTTAAATCTTTTACAACTTAGTAATTTGAATTCTAAAAGTAAAAATGCTTGACGCAGCAGAGTGTATCATGAGGAGTCTTAGATAGGAAAATGCCGTTCTGACTGGTAGTATTTTGTTGTCAGAACTTGTAAAGTTCCCCAGCCCTTACTTAGGAGGTGAAAAAATCACAAAAATGAAGTCTGTTGGGATATCTGTTTGTTTGTTCAACAAGTTGATAACAGAGTTGGGGTTATTGTCGTGGTGCTATTTCTCCTGCTTTCCATGGTTAGTTTGTTCAAGCAATATATTATGCTTGCATTTTCATCTAACTTACGATTTTTCTGTTTTATTTTAGGTCAATAAATGGACTTGTTAAAATTCTAGAGACACAAAGATCAAGGTATTAAATGGCCACTATTAATGGGTACCAGATCCTGCCTCTTTTGTGAAAGACTTAAGTATGCTATTAGAACAATTTGCTTAAAGGAAAACTATTGAATTAGAGATATTTAACTCAATATTTATTTTATGAATAACCATCTAGATAAAGGAATTTTTTTAAAAGAAGTAAAAATGTATTTTTCTTTTGTATCTTTTTTAGTGTTCACATCTATACTCTAGTGTATAACTATTTTAAAAAAAATTATTATTAAGATGTAGCTTAGTTTACAGAGCTTATCACTAGTTGGTTTTATTGGACTTTGCGGTATAACCATAAATATTTCTTACTTACATGAGAAGTGGATTTTACAAAAGCTTGGGCATTATTTTGCTTTTCAAAACCTGCATTTTGTTCTAAGTTTAATATAAATATGGCTTTTAATAATTAAGATGCATTGTAGTCATGTTACCATTTATGGAGTAATAGCATTTGAAAAGTTCCTGAAAAATGCTAATACAGATGTAGTTTGATTGGCTTCAGCATACTCCAAAAGTCTAGCAGATTTTTAAGGTAGTGTTACAGGTAGAAATTCAAAGTTTCTTGTAAATAGTTAACCAGATCTTGTAACTAAAGAGCAACTTCGAAGGACAGGTTGTCTCTGAGCTAATCACTGATCACGTGCACTATAATGTTTTCTTTCTGTTGTGTCTGCTTAAAGATTTTTGTCACTTATGATGGCTGCTGCATACGTTGTTACTACAAAATGACTTTGAAAGCAGTGCAAGGAAGTTTGTAAGAGGGAGAAGTAATGGCATTGTTTTTGCTATTTTTCATTGAAATTGACTCAGATTTCTTCTTTAATAAGGAATTAAATGGATATGGTATTTATTTCCAAGGACCTCAGGAGAGCAGTGTATCTTTCAGACTACTAGGACTGATTTGTGTACTATTACATCAATTATTTGACTATACTATGATAAATGTTCCTATAATACAGATTCCACTTCTAAGCAGTTTTTGAAGGGAAAATAGTAGACATAATCTTAACAATGTATGCTTGGCTTTTTAAAGTTATTGTCAAATGTAGTTGGCAAGTGTAGAGAAGAATAATTACTGTTATTGGCTGATCGGATAGGAACTTCAGGTGACTGTAGAATACGTGTTTTGTTTGGTAACCCAGGGTTTTGAAGACAGGTGCTTGGCAGACTTCAGTATAAACATCAGCTCAGTTTACATCTCCAAAAATGTTTATTTTGTTAATGTTTCTGTTGGCTTTAACTTATTTGAAATTCTGTTTACAGTCTGAGCGCTGGAAGTTTTATGCTTTGCTGTTGAACAGTTGTACTATGAAAAGCATTCTCTTTAGTGATGATCCGGTTAGTTTATAAGGATTATTCTCGTACTGCTTACGTAACTTTGTTCAAGGAGCAAGGTGAAATGTTTAAGTAGCTTTGACAACTTCAAACTCCTTTCTTGTTAACTTGCAAATTCTGTTGAAGAATGCTTAGAACAAGAATAAACAATATTATAGAAGGGATCATAAATTCTGTTACTGAGAGGTGTTTCACATTTATTCATTTATTGCTCTTCTAGTGATCTTCAGTAAATCACTTCTCTTAGGTCAGCATGTGTCTCTAGATAAAAATTATTTTCTTTGATGGATTTATTGTCATTTAGGGACTTAGGTTGAAAACAGCAAGTGTGGATAAACTTGTGAGCAATTGTTATGATCAAGCTTTTAATGTTCACCAACTCTTTTGGTATGTTAAGAATTGTAATGTGTAAACAGTCACTCTAGATTCTACTGCAAAATTTAGACTTTTGTTAATTTGACCTATTCTGTAAATTCAGTATTTTTAAGTTAGTATTTCATAAAGTTGAGTTGTAGTAGGATAACGTTACTGGCATTTTTCTCTGTCTGTAAATGGAAGTGAGAGTGCTCTGATGACTCCAAGTTAGATTTAATCAGGATTTTATTCTGATGGTAATTCTTGGATATTTACTCACAACTAATTTTACAATATCCAAATTTGTGTATCTTTTATTTTTGAGACCTCTGTATTACAGTTTTCATGGCATCTATGCAGTGTGATATTTATTCATGTAATGCATGTACTTGGAGTGAAGCATGAATGACTGAAAGACTAAGAACAAATACTGCAAAGGGATGGGGTTGCAGAGATACAATTGTAACATTTCCCTTTCCTCCTGTTTAGTAAAATTTTGAGAACATGATACTAATTTTTTAAATTCTGGAATTTCTGTTATACTTTGAAGAATGGGAAATTTTTACCTTTGCCACAGAACAGGCAAGAAAATCATGAAGGAAAATCAGGTCTTAGGAAAGCTCTTACAGGAAAAATGCAACAGATTGTTCTAGCTGAAATCAAGAAGTGGCGACATGATGATTTTACTGAGAAGAAACAGTGGTTTTGAGAGAGCAGATCAGGAGTTCCTTGTTCTTTAGTTGCAAGGCAGAGTGGAGAAATGGTCAATGAAATGCTTTGAAGAGGGAAAGAAGGAAACTCTTTATCAATAAAGTTAAATTGCTCATAAATTGCATGGGTCTGACAGCCCTAGGAAACTAGTCCAAGTTTGAGGCCAAAATTTTTGTAATATAAAAAAAATATAATTCTGTAAATGTTATGATGGTATCTGGCATGGCTGACAATTTTGAAGAGGATATTGAAGTTCATGCTTTGTGTCTTAAATCAGTATATATCCATTAGGAAGAGATCCAATATATGAAGTGTCGTATCCACATCTGTATCATTCTTGGGTCACAACAACCCCATGCAACGCTTCAGGCCTGGGGAAGAGTGGCTGGAAAGCTGCACAGTGGAGAAAGACCTGGGGGTGTTGGTCGACAGCCAGCTGAACATGCGCCAGCAGTATGCCCAGGTGGCCAAGAAGGCCAATGGCATCCTGGCCTGTATCAGAAATAGCGTGGCCAGCAGGACTAGGGAAGTGATCATCCCTTTGTACTCAACGCTGGTGAGGCCACACCTTGAATGCTGTGTTCAGTTTTGGGCCCTTTACTACAAGAAGGACATTGAGGTGCTGGAGTGTGTCCAGAGAAGAGCAACAAAGCTGGTGAAGGGCCTGGAAAACAAATCTGATGAGGAGTGGCTGGGGGGGGCGGGGTTGTTTAGTCTGGAGAAGAGGAGGCTGAGGGGAGACCTTATCTTTCTCCACCACTACCTGAAAAGAGATTGTAGTGGGGTGGGAGTCAGTCTCTTTTCCCAAGTAACGAATGGTAGGATGAGAGGAAATGGCCTCAAGTTGCGCCAGGGGAGGTTTAGATGGGATATTAGGAAGAATTTCTTCATGGAAAGGGTTGTAAAGCATTGGAACAGGCTGCCTAGGGAAGTGATAGAGTCGCCATCCCTGAAGGCATTTAAAAGACATTTAGATGTGGTGCTTAGTGACATGGTTTAGTGGTGGACTTGGCAGTGCTAGGTTTATGGTTGGACTTGATTTTAAAGGTCCTTCCCAACCCAAACAATTGTGTGATTTCTGGTGTCTGATGCCAGCCAGCATTAAATTTTGGATATTAGATTAAGTGGACCTCAGATTCAGTCCCCAGTGACAACTCTTATGTTACTAGTAAATATTTAGTGAATGACACATACTGTCTCTCCCATGATTAAACATTCCAAAAGTGAAATAAGCACAAAATTAATTTATTGGCATGCTATTTGAGAACATGTCTTCTTAGTAAGGGTGTTTTGTTCCTCAAAGGCCCACATTTAAAAGGGACAAATATAGCGCTTTCTTGTGTTTTTCTGAATGATTTTTCAAAACACTGCTGAGAACGAACAACTGGCACTGAGCTGGTCATGAATTTTAGAGAGGGATTAATTATGTGTTTTACATTATAAACCTTTCATCTTAGAAACTGCTTTGTAAAGGTATTGTTGGATGTAAAAGTTTAATAATACTGGCTGTACTCCAGAGGTATCTTTTTTTTTTTTTTAACGTTTCGCTTGTTCCTTGTATTTAGCAACATACCTTTAATTGCATTTAGGTAGTGATGAGTTGCTATTAGGAGTGAAACCTGTAGTCTATATTCGTTTTATAAAAAAAGTGTCTCATGCAAGTTTATAGGTACTGTTCTTACAAGTAAATATGGTCAGTGGTGTCTGTTCCGCACTACCTTTTTCGTTTGTCTGTTTCAGATGTTAAAGCTGAAATTCTTCATAGTAGCACTTGCCTCATAGTGTATTTCACTTTTGTTTGCTAATAGTGTGTCAGTATAAGCTACATATATTCCAGGGGGTTGTGTGTGTGTTGAGAGGGTCTATATTAACGGTAAAGAATAATTGCTGGGAAGAACTTCAGGGTTCCTTTTCCCATTTAGGGAAAATCAGTTATTACTCAGGCATCCAGTATGAGGGATTTTATCATCTTTCTTGGACATATGTTGTATTTTACTCTATTTTTTAAAATTATGTTTCTGTGCTTACATATTACTCTGTAAATAAACACTGTGTTTCCTTGTAGATGATGATACCAACCACCAACATCCTAAAATAAGGCTAGATGGCATTAGTATGATAGACAGGAAAACAAGCTTCAGTGAATAATTTTAAAAATAATTATTTATGTATACACAATATTTAAATATAGTAAAAATACAAAGCTTGCTTTTTTTCTTCTGTTTAGAGTTGATCTCTCCAATGTCTTGGACCTGCATGCTTTTGACAGTTTATCTGGGATAAGGTATGGTTATAATTTCACTGTCTTTTAGTAGAAATAATGTCCATTGTATAAATACATGCGTGAAATAGACACACTCAAATTCTGGCTCAAATTTGCATCTGAGTTTCTGTTAGAAACTCCAGGTTAGTCACTTGTTTAAAATTCTCACTTCATAAGCAGTCATCTGAGACTGAGAATTTTTTCCACTTGAAATGCATGCAACAAAAGCTTTTTGACTTTGTAAAGTTAAATGAGCCAGAGTGTGCGTGGTTGGTTGGCTTTTTTCCACAAAATACAAGTTGTAGATTTATACACTCTTTTCCGGTTCTCTTAAAGGATTTCAAAATTTTTGTCACTTCACATCTTGATGAACTGGAGGCCTCCTTAGTTTTCACAGAAAACAATGAGGGACTGAGGTTCTGCAACAAACAAAGCCACGGCAAATTCTGGTTACTGTGTTCCATGCTCTTGTTGTTTTTAATGCCAAATGTGTGCTTCGGCATGCTAGATGGCTGGAAAAGTAAAATTGGAGGTGAGGGGAGAAGGACTTTCTGTTCGCTTCGTATGCTGAAGTTGTTTACTGAAGAGAGCAAAGAGTACTGGAGCAATCATAAAGGAAAGAAGGGAATATGCAACTGGGGGCAGCATCAGCTTCATTTTTCTTCCTGGACATGCACTGTTCACTTCAGGTAAAGGAATGTAGCCACTTCCTTATTCACAGAAGGGAGAAATTGCAGAAGATTCAAGCTAGTAACCACTATTAGATGAGATGTGCTTGTGAGATTTCCCAGTGAACTGGTGCGGTACTATCCAAAGGATAGCCTGCTTTTCCTGACTCTCTGCTGCCCTTTCTTTTTGTTGGCACTGGCTTTTGTCTGATCTGTGAAAAGTAGCGTTTGGTTCTTTTGAGCTCCTTGAATGTGCCAGTGAGATCTGTACTGATGGCAGCATCAGGGAGGTAGCAGAATAGGCATCCAAAAGTTAAGGGAGGAGGAAGACAAATATATCCTTTATGGGCAGTAGATAATAATTAGGTCATAAACCGTATCATAAACCCACATCCTGAGTTGTTGTGGTGGATCAGCTAGCTAAACTAAACTGACTCACCCTGGAGCCATGCAACAGAGAGAAAGCAGTAGGAAGATGGGAACCAGAAAAGAATCGTTTTTGATGATGGCAATTCACAGTTAGATCTGATTAGCTGTAATATTAGGTGGCATTCTGCAAGGTTTACTAGGAAGTGCTGTGCTCTACAAACAAAACAAAAAAATCTTTCTTGCTTTCCTTGGCCTAGTCTTCTCTCCTATCCCACTCATAATTCCTTTAGAGGTTCTCAATATTTGATATTAAAGCAGAGGAAACACTTTAAAATTGCAGCATTTAAAGACAAATTCTAAAAGCACCAAGAAGATTGTAGACTGCTTTAAATGAAGTTCCATTTCCTTTGTTTTTATTTGAGCTCTGTACAGTGAAATTGCTTACCCTGGTATCAGTTCATAGATACAGAAATCCTTACATAAAATGTTAACGGTGGCTTCTGTCCTTATCATCTGTAGCAGAAGAACTCTTTGCATCCAGCACCATTTGAGCACAAATACACACTAGTACACTAATAAAATTGTTCTTTTAACTGCCAGCGTAGCAGACAGATACAGCATCTGATTGGTGTGACTGTACTGGTAGAACCTTGTAGTCTATACATGCCGTGAAGTGACACATCAAGAGTTCTGGATTCTGTGGAATGCAATATGAGAAGAAAACAAAGTAAAGAAGGAGGAGTGTGAAATGTTACTTCAGTCAGTACTTTTTTTTCCCCACCATTAAAGGCTTCTTAAAATTTATAGTCATCAAAGTAGGAGGAGTGATTTTTATGGGCAATCTTCTCTGAAGTAGCAGAGAGCTGTCATCACAGTGACTTCTGCTGCAGTGTTCTTTTTTCTGCATGTTGGATGTAAGACACAGAGAATGTTCTCTGGTACAGAAACAGTATTTGAAGAAATCTTGCACTGTCTTGATTAAAGACAGATGTGGGTATGTAATCTAAAGTTGCAGTAAAATTTTATGTTGTCATATAAAATGATACACTAAGACCCTGAATCTTGGTTTATGAAACAAATCCGCAAGTTCCTTTATGAAGTAGAGAGGGCCAGTTTTAAATTAGCAGGCATAGTGCACAGTAGGAATAAGCTGCACAGCAGAGTTGAAGTGGAAGCTGGTATATAGTATTTCACTTAGTGTTACAGATTTTATTCTCACAAGCAATAGCTTTGTACATTGTTTTTCTTCTTGCTTTTCAAATCATTATTCTAAAGTTTTTTGGAAAAAATCAATGTCTAATAAATTGACAAATTCTGGTGATTTATTTTCCCCTTCTTGCTTTAATGATGTAGTTTGCCTTTTGTTCCTACACAAAGGAATATCAAGGGTATTGTACTTCTTGAAGTGTAAATATTTAAAATCCCAAAGATATTGCAAATCATTACTATAAGCTAATCGTGTTTATATTTAAACAAAACAACTAACATTCTAATACAAATCATTAACTAGATCAATATAATTAAGCATCTCTACTTTCAGATTAAAATGGAATTAAAAGTTGAGGCTTATTCTGACTATATGGTCTATCTTTGATATTTTAGTTTTGCTCTGCAATACTGAAGAGTTTATTTAAATTTTGAAATAATGACATTTTGTCCATCCTACTACAAACGTGACATTTATCTTTGCTTATTTTCAGTTTGCAGAAAAAGCTTGAGCATGTAAAGACAACACATGCGCATCTAGATAAGGTAATTACCAAAAATAATTCCTTAATCTTTTTTATAACAACAAGCTTGTTAAGGGTAATTGCAAGCATTGCGTGCTAATCGCGTTACCTTTTCAGGTTTCAGTTAGTGAGTAATGTGATTTAAGGTCTTTGGAAGATTACACAGAATACATACATCAATGTGCTTTGTTGTGGGTAGATTCTAAGTGGATCCGGTAAGTCTTACTTTCAAAAATAGCTTATAGGCTTCCAGTGCTCCAGACAGTCACATCATTCATTGATTCACATGGAGAGTGTTACTGAAACAGACAAGTAGCACTACTGTTTTTAATATTTGCAGAATCAAGTCCTAAATTTGTAGCCAGTCTTTATCCTGTAGGTTTTCTGTCCAAATGTTGTCTGTATATGTAGATATCAGGGAGATGTTATTCATGACTTTGCATTCTTTAAAGCTGTAATAAAACTTCACTGAGTAGTTAAGCATGTGTAGATTTCAGTTCTATGAGTGCTTCCCATTGTTTTCACAAGAAATAGTAACAATTTAACTTGTAACAGTGAAGTAGATTCTGCTCTATAAACTAGGTATCAATCCTGTAAGCAGGTGTATGCTAAAAAAAGGAAACAGTTCTGTTGATGTTATTTTTAGTATGGTAAATTAAACTTTAAAGTGTATCCCTCCCTGCCTCGATGCTCAGCCCAATGTGTGTTTATATCAGGGCAGAATCTTTTTTTCTCCCTGTGTGTAATTGTAAATAGCATTTCTGCCTTTGTGTCTTTTATTTGAGTAAATACAGTATTTTTTTGTGATCAGCATACCTAATTTCAAAGGCAAATTCAAGGAAAAAGGTCTCGTCCATCATCTCTGCAGAATATAAACAGTTCTATGCTAATTGCTACTTTTAAGCACCTGTCTTATCCATGATATACAGGTTTTACTAGAAAGGCTGCCTTTAATTTTCTTCTTTTTTTTTTTTTTTGCTTGTTTTTCAAATGTTATGATCACAGCATCTTCTTCTGCTAAGATTGTTCTACTTTTGAGAAGGGTCTAAAGCCAGGGAATTACTGAATTTATTACCAGGCAACAAAAACTTAAAATTACTGATTTGAGTTGTGAAAAAAAGAAATGCAAAAGAATTACACAAACACTTACATGAATACCTCTCCTCTCCCCCAAGTTCCCTTGTTTTTTTTCAGTGGGTTACACTTAATCCATCCAGATTCTCCTAGCAAGACTAAATGTGGCATGGGAAGTTGGGGATGTTTGTGTAATGATTTTCTATTCCTCATCACTGCTCTGTTCTTTAGGGTTGCTTCTCTGTGAGCTCACTCAGGGGCCCTTAGTACCTGTGGAGTGCCCCTGCTCTGTCGGTAAACAACAAGCTGCAGTCTCTCAGGGGTGTACGTACCTGCTTTGGCATGGCGTGCCTCCTCCAAAAAGTCTACAGCCCCAGGTGGCTGGAGGTGTCTGCCTCTCTAAGAGTGCCATGTGTTTCTCTGCCTGAAGATGTGTGGGATGATTTTTTTACTGTTGTATGGTGGTCAGAGCTGGCTGGAACAGGTTGTGAAACACACAAGGCAGCTGATGGCCTCCTCCCATGCCCCTCAGCAGTGCAGCCCCCTGCTATATAAGCCTTGTAAGCTTACACATAAAGAGCTGTATGAAGATATAGCGGTTATAGACTCCACCCTTAATACCATCAGAAACTAATGTACACCTAGTACATATTATACTTCTTGCCACTGAGTTAGACTGTAAGGGTTAATGTTGCAGCAGTCAGAAAATGTGTTAAAAATTGTTGTATTTAACCTCCATCTCCTGCCAAGCAGATGATGGAGGTTAGTATCATAAAAGTTTGAATTTACTATTTCCATTGTAGACTCCACCCTTTGTAGCTTAGTAAGGTTAGCATTGCTTAGTGCAAAATTCAGGCCTTGTTCTTGCAAAACACCAAACCGAGACATTTGGCTTTTTAATTTACTCACCATGTCTTACTATACAAGGAAACACTCAAGCAAACAAACAGTACAACCACAGAGTAACACCACTATTGGATATCCACTTTGTTTCTGAGTCCCACAGTTGTAGTTTCATCCAGAACCCAAAAGCGTGGTGACCAGTGTTGATTTGATATAACATGGGCACGTCCCTAACTGGGGAGTAAGATGATGCATCAGATGACTTCGATTTCCCAGAGCTTGCTTCACATCCTAGAACCATATTAACTAAGCTCTGACCTTTCTCCTGAGCTTGTTATTGGTTAGCTCCCAGGTGTAGATCTTTGAAGGACTTCTTTTCCCCTTTCCAAGTCCCAGTTTGTAAGGTGGGAGCATGGAGATTTTTCATCCCCTCCTGACACTTTCACAACTGTAATTTTGTCATGCTTTGGCCTGAGGCTGATCTCACACCTGCCTCTGCTGTGTTTGCCCCAGTATGATGCTGTAGGTCACTTGATCAATAGGGTGTCCCACCAGGTTCTCAGGTGATACCAGAGGGGCAGTAGTGACTCTGCCTAGCTTTCAGAGCTTTTGGTCTATGACCTCAGGCTTTTCAGGTCCCTTAACCCTTACCTGTAAACACAGCAAGAGTCAAAGTGACTGCAGTCGATTGCCCCTTCTTGCCAGTGCCTCTACAGGAGTCTTGTTTGTGGGATC